CTTGATCACATGTAATAAATTGCACATGTTCAAAATTGAACTCCAATAATTACTAAGAGCAACTATAAGACCACTCCAATAAAGCGCCGATTAATCGCGCTCGAAATTCGGCGCGTCAGCCGCCATCTCGCGCGTCGCACGGCGCGCGACAAATAGGAGCGCGCTCCAAAAGCGGCGCTACGCGAATCGCGCCCGGCCCGCGGCATCGCTCGTGCCTATCGATGCGGGCCACGCAGCGGTCACCCGAGAGAGCCGAAATTAATAACAAATTGCAATAACAACGTTCAATTTAAACTAATCATCGCAAACAACAACCGGCGCGATCTTTTGTGACAAACACGTCGAATATTCTAGAGGCAGCAAAAGAACGGTTGTATATAAGCTCTCTCGGGGAACCGTCGGGCGCACTCGATCCGATATTTTTGACGAGACAGTGTGTGAATTTTGTACGGAGACGTTCGCTTGCAAAAGTAGCTCGCTTTTCTTCTGTTAACCATCGCTTGTGGTTCGCGAAATCTCGTGTCTTCGAGAGTATTTGTCGCTCGCGAATATTCGCTACGAAATTCTATCCGTCGCTCGCGGGTTATTCCGTCGCTCGTGGAATCGCTCCGTTTATACCGTTGCTTGCGGTATTCGATATATCCGTCGCTCGCGGAGATTATCGTTGCGCTCCCGGTCGCTCGCCAGAGCCAGACACGGTGAAGATAAGCATAAATCTGATCGACTAAAGAACTTGTTAATTATTTATTGTTTTAAATAAATTGACTGCGTATTACAAAATCACTTTCGTGTCCATTTCGCACTCTCAACGCGCTCCCGCGTTCACTCGCGCACGGCACATCAGCACCCGTTTCGCTCAATTTGTCTAGACATTCCTTCAATAATATTATTATATCCTCTGTTTTCATGCATTTTCCTGAGAAGAAATATGCTAAAAGCTGTCGCCAATTTAAACTCATTTAAACTGTCTAGACAAAAAACAAATACGCATTTGGCTCTTTCTGATTTTCTTCCCAAAGATCCAAGATCGACAAGGTCTTCTATTTCATCTAATTTAAGCGAATACTCTTCATAAGATTTTATGGCCATTTCATCCCATTTTAAAGCACATGCTCTTTCCTCCATTGGTATGTGAGAAATCTTTTCTTTAAGTTTTTGAAATATAAAATCACAAAATCCTGGTCGTACATCATATTCTTCCAGCCATCTTTTAATAGTTCGCTGGCCGGGAAAATTACAACCTGCTTTTCTTAAGCGACAGAAAGCAGCGGCTGAGTAATAATATAACTGTCCTGCCAGATTTTTTCTTCTTCTGTATATATTGCATTTGGTGTATGCAGTTGCAAATGTATCATAGCTTTCGCAACAGGATGTAGATTTTCTTCGTCTATCAATGTTCTTAATATTTTTTTCTTTTGTTTATTATTTTTTGGCGTTTTACGTATTCGTACAGTATGACGTAAACGATATTTCAAAATTCTTATTTGGTTTCGCAATCGAATATTTTCAGATTTTCAAGACTTAATTGTAGCACATAATTTACCTATTGTTGTCATATTATTTTCTTTGTCTTTTATACTTTTATTTGACGAAAGAGGCCTTTTGATGACTTTATCATGCATAGACAACTCAGGATATTAATTTTTTTTCTTTTCTGTGTTCTTATTTAATGGAAAAGGCTTGAGGGCTCTTTCATAAGTAGGTGGCTCAAAGTGCATCCATTCTATAATATCTTCCTCTTCCATAGAAGTATCAAAATATAATTATAGTGCTCGATATTGCAATGGACGGCATTTTAGTAAATGTTTATCTGGTACAATATTATCATGAATAGAAATGGGTGCAGATGATGTTGACGTAGCGATCTCCATGGATTGTATTCCTTCCATATTTGCTTGTCCATAATGAGATACTTGTTCTATTTGTATGATTTTTCTAATTTCATTGTTTTGTATATTTGTATTCGATACAACAACTTCATTAAAAGGAATTGGTACGTCATTTCGTTTCAAACCTTTATTACTATTATTTGTAAACGAACCTTTAGGGAAATGATCTTCGCATAATTCTGCACGTCGAACTGAATATGGAGACCATTTTTCTAACTTAGTATTTCCTGCAACAGAAACAAATAAAAAGATTTGAAAATGATGTGGTTATATGTTTGCTTGAATATAGCTATTCTACTGTACATGTAATTGTATAACGTTATAAATTCTATTTTTATAATAAAAATTGATGATAAATGTACATTATTTGAGAAATTAATATATATCGAAATATATGTCTTTTTAAATATGTAGATAACAGATAGAAATAATATAACAATACAAATATAATATATAAAGGAAAATATTGTATATTATTACTGGAATATTATTGCTGGAATTTCGCAAAAACAGTTATAGCAAAATTGTTTAAAAACAAAATATACAAAAATACAAAATATAAAAAAAAATTTCTTACATCTCAATGTTTAATGAAAATAGTAAAATATAAGCAGCAAATAATTAAATCAATTATTATATATGGAAAATTTTTTACATTACCTAAACATTGATCATCATTAAAAGAAAGAAATATATATTATCAGTTTATAATAAATATGTTTATCAGTTTATCATTTAAAAAAATTCTTTAAAAAAAATTATAACATAAAAAAATGATATGATACACAAAATGCATCGAGATCGATGGCGACTACGCAAAAAAATTTGGTATATATTAAAACATATTTAGTTCATAATAAAACATTTTTATAGCTTTTGTATCTTTTTTTATAGTGGACCGATTTGATAGTTATATTATTAAATTATTCGACAAACTCCTAATTATTTTATAACCGCTTAATTCATTATTTTGATTAATAATTATTTACAGTTTTTATATAAGTATATTTTAATAAAATTTTTTTATTAAATTTTTTCAAGTAAAATAATATTAACAGTTTTATATGTCCTTCGTTATTAGAATTAATTTATTTAATTCACAAATATCACATTTTATGATACATTGTATGATGGATAAAATGACCAGGTAAAAAAATAAGTACATAAAGTGCAGGGAATATACATATAAACAATGTCCACTAGACGCGTGCAACCGCGTGTGGTCGCGTGCCTACTTAAAGCTGACATGGTCGAATTCATCAAACGCACAAGGATCGTGTAGATGCCTGCTTAAAGCAGATGTGCCTAAATTATTGTATGACTTTACGGATGAGAAATACTTTTATATACAAGTTTTAATAGTGTATATCATGTACATTATACACATCTTATTATACGCATGCATATGAGAAAGCATTTGCATTTACACTCGTATGCATATGTAATAATGCAAATGCTAAAAATGCTTTCTTGTACGCATGCATATAGTAAGATGTGTATAATGTACATGATATACACTATTAAACTTGTATATAGAAGTATTTTTCATTCGCAAAATTATACAATAATTTAGGCATATCTGCTTTAAGCAGGCATCTACACGATCCTTGTGCGTTTGATGAATTCGACCGTGTCAGCTTTAAGTAGGCACGCGACCACACGCGATCGCACGCATCTAGTGAACATTGTTTATATATTCCCTGCACTTTATGTACTTATTTCTTTTTCTAGCTCACCTTATCCATTTATTTATTATACAATGTGATATATTAAATAAATCATTAATTAAAATGAGAAAGTGCATATAAAACTTTTAATGTTTTACTTAATGTGCTTCTAAAACTTTTAATGTTTTATTAAATGTATTGTATTCAAAAAAATTTAATTAATTGTGAGTGAGAAAAGTTAAAACTTAAATAATTAATTGTCATTCATTACTGTAATTACTATAATAGTGCAATATTGGAATATGTAATAATATATAGGAATATGTTAAATATATAGGAATGGATGAGGAATAATATATATAATATAAATATAAATAGGTAATTATTTACATTAACGGATACCTCGCCGATGATCTTGACCTTGACATATGTTGTCAAGGACATGATCCTGAGTAACTTTTCCTTATAACTTAATTTACATAAGATAATGTATGAAAAAACTCTTTTTGAGGCATGAGTAAATTCTCTTGGGGAAGGAGAATAGGAAGGAATTTTTGGGAGGTGGTAGGAAAGGAAAAATGGGAAAGCGCAGGCCAGGGTCGAGTCGGGAATCGAACCCGAAATCTCCGGGATGTGAGTCACGCGCGCTACGCACTGAGCCACCGGAGGCCCCGCGGTCACTGTTTATTAAGAGGATGCCGGAGCGACGGGCGAACTCCGACGGGTTAGCGCCCTCATCTAAACGTAACTAAAAGTGTCGTGCGTTGTGTTAAATATGTGGAGACCGAAAAAATGTTGTATTTCTACTTCTCTATCTCATACAAGCAATTTTAGAGCACAGATGTCTGTGTCGCATACATATTTTGAACACAATAATATAATATTGCTCATATTGTCTCTTTTGATTTTGTCATGATGTGCATATATATATGTATATATACAGAGTGTATAAAAAGTACCGGGACGGTGAAATATCTGAAAAACTAAGCATTTTCGAAAAAAATGTTCCAAATAAAAGTTGTAAGGTTTTAAAAGATCTATTTATTAGATACTATAAGTTTGACCTTGGGTGGCGTCGTCAAGGTTAGGACAAGGTCACCTTGAATTTTTTAAATGGAAACCCCTACTTTTTATTGCATATTCTTGTAGTTTATCTCGAGAGCTTTTCAAAACACTAATAAAATATTTTTCATTAAGTACATTTTGAGTTTTTTTATATTTAAATCTGACATATTTTGATATAAAAAAAAATATATCGTAAAATATTTAGTTTTCGATAATCTTACCGTAATATTTTTATGTACAGAATGATGAGCCAAATCAATTAGTGTAAAAAAACAAATAATTGTTTAAAAAAAATACATTGTAAATAATTATTAGGGGGACCGGAAAGTAATGTCGTTTTTTTACATTAAATTCAAACAGATAAATTTTTAACAAGTTTTTATTTTTGATCAATGATGTAATCAACCTCATCAACAACCTTTTGCCATCTAGTGTGCAAATTTTCAATGCCGGATCGATAAAAATCAATTGGTTTTTGAGCAAAATATCTGGAGATGGCATTTTGGACATCATCCAAATTTTCAAATTTTTTGCCACTGAGAAAATGTTGTAGCGATCGGAATAAATGGAAATCCGATGGCGCAATATCGGGCGAGTATGGTGAGTGAGGCAATACCTCCCACCCCAATTCATTAATTTTTTCCAGGGTTCGTCTTGCGCAGTGCGGTCTTGCATTATCGTGTTGCAGAATAACGCCTTTTCTGTTGACAATCGCTGGGCACTTTTCAATTATAGATTGATTTACTCGATCCAATTGTTCACAGTAAAGGTCTGCATTCACAGTTTGTCCAGGTTTCAGCATTTCAAAATGAACGACCCAAATACTCCACCAAACACACAAAAGCGCCTTTTTGGAGTGTAAACCTGGCTTAGTTGTACTTTGTGGCGATTCATTCGGAGAGAGCCACTGCCTTTTGCGTTTTGGATTATCATAGAGGACCCATTTTTCATCTCCAATGATCAAGCAATCAAAAAACGCTTGTGTATTGTGCCGCTGAAGCAATAAGTTGCATGTGGTGGACCGATTAGCTTTGTTTTCTTCGGACAGATTATGCGGGACCCAAACACCTGCTCTGCTTACTTTACCAATCTGCTGCAAATGTTCATGGATGGTCGACCAAGGTTGGTTAAGAGTGTTTGATTTGAGTTCCTCGATTGTCTGACACGGATTTGCTTCTACTTTCGCCCTTAACATGTCATTGTCTAAAGTTGTTGGTCTTCCTGATCGATACGAGTCGGAAAGATCAAAATTACCGGATTTGAACTTAGAAAACCACCTTTGGCATTTACGAACGTCTAATGCACTTGGATAAACATCGCAAATGTTTTTGGTAGCAACTGTTGCATTACTACCCTTGTAAAACTCAAAAAGCATACAATGCCGGATATGTACCTCTTCTGGTATTTGGCTGGCCATTTCACCATAAATTGCAAAAAAAATTTAAGATTTAATTATTTACGAGTAAACAAGTCACTCTAACCTTAAAATGTCTTTGGCACGACTTTGAAGTACACAAGGAGCTGATTAATGACAAACGAATATCGACATGCGCAGAAACGACATTACTTTCCGGTCCCCCTAATACATACTTTTTCTTGAAAACAATTTTTTTTTATACTGATTGATTTGTCTCATCATTCTGTACATAAAAGTATTACGGTAAGATTATCGAAAACTAAATATTTTACGATTTTATTTTTTATATCAGAATATGTCAGATTAAGATATAAAATAACTCAAAAAGTACTTAATGAAAAATACTTTATTATAGTGTTTTGAAAAGCTCTCGAGATAAACTACAAGAATATGCAATAAAAAGAAGGAGTTTCCATTTAAAAAATACAAGGTGATCTTATCTTGACCTTGGCGACGCCACCCAAGGTTAAACTCATAGTATCTAGTAAATAGATTTTTTGAAACTCTACAACTTTTATTTGAAACATTTTTTTCGAAAATGCTTAGTTGCACCGTGACCTTGGATTATTCTCGTAATGCGATTTTGAAGGTCATTTCGATGTCTACTTGATTTTTTTTAAATGGGAGGGTGTACTTCTTCTTTCGGAAATGAAAAGAGCGTTCAATTTTGAGTCTAAAAGTAGTAGTGGGATCAACGACATAAACAACAATGAAAACAATCTGATGTAAGCAAACGTAGGCTTATTATTCAAAACTTAAATAATTTTATTCCAGTAAATGTTCGAAATGATGGCTATTAACTTCGATACATTTTCGAAAACGTTTTTCAAAAGAATGCTGAACTTTTATTAAAGTATTTTCAACGATACTCGCACAGGCATTGATAATCCGTTGACGCATATTCTCAGGTATAGTCGGTGCTTCTTGATAAACCTTATCTTTTATGAATCCCCATAAGAAAAAGTCTGGAGAAGTGAGATCCGGAGAGCGGGCAGGCCAATTAACAAGTCCTCTACGTCCTATCCATCGATCAGGATAATCTCTGTCTAATATTTGTCGAGCTGCAGCTGCATAATGAGATGGACAACCATCGTGTTGATACCACATATTCGACCGTTCTGCGATAGGAACGTCTTCAAACAATTTTGGTAGTTCTTGGTCTAAAAAGTTTCTGTACTTCGGTCCATTGAGCGCACCTTCAATAAAGTACGGTCCAATTATTCGATTTCGGTGAATACCACACTGTTGTGCCTCTAGCCGCTAAGGAAGAGGTCTTTAGGGATTTATACGCCCAAAGGATTAGGATCCACGCTCGAAATAAATTTGCACGGGTCCTGCGTAATCTAGGCCGCAATGCAAAAAACAGCGGACTGTCGCTGTCACGCGTGCTTCGGGAAAATCTCCTATGATTTGTGTGGGAGTCTCGGCTTGTTCGCGAGTACATACAACGCATTTATGAATGACAGATTTTACTATGTTACGAGCGCGAAGGATCCAGAAATAGCGGCGCAAAACATTTAGCGTGAGTTGCGGTCCGGCATGTAACGCTCGTAAATGAGTTTGATTCACGATAAGCGTGACTAACGGGTGTGACGCAAGAAGGATCGGATGTCGAACGGACCGAGGAACGGTCGAAGTGAGAGAAGTGAGCTTCTCGACGAGAGGCTCTGATTATTTGACAGTGCGTTTATTTCTGTCGGAAGTAAGTCGGCTTGAATTTTCTTAATCCAGAAAATTCTGGCAGTATTGCAATCGGATGCAGAAAGCGCGATGCTTCTCGATGCTGGATAGTGAGATACGCGGTGACGCGAATTAATTTTGCCACGATGAATATCTTGAAGCGAGGTTCCACGTAACGTAAGGTTGAGAGCATTGCAGCCAATTAATTTTTTCTTCAAGAGGCGCGTCCTTAGGAAGACGCTCATTGTTACCAGGCCATTTATTGGAATCAAAGAGCAGCCATGGAGGTCCATGTCACCATAGCTCGCGATTGATAATTGTATCGCGGAATATTTCGCGCGAAGCGCAATCCGCGGGATTGTCCTCCGTTGGCACATGCCGCCATTCGACGTCTGGAAGACGAGTCTGAATATCATTAACGCGATTGGCGGCAAAAGTCTTCCATCGCGAAGGAGGTTGACTTACCCACGCGAGCACGATCGTGGAATCTGTCCAGCAATGACACGGAAAATCTTTGTAACCGTTCGATCCGCGCACGAACTTGACGAGTCGCGAGAGTAATACGGCTGCGGATAATTCCAACCGTGGTATGCTCCGAGGTTTTAACGGTGCGACCTTTGATTTTCCAACGAGCAGAGTTGTCATAATTTGGCTTGATGACGAAAGGATTTTAATATAAACGCATGCGGCATACGCATGTGTCGACGCGTCAGCAAATTCGAGGATTTCGGCGTGATTTGTGTCCGATCCGAGACCGACCCAGCGAGTGATTCGCGAATTACTAAGATGCGAGAGCCGAGAGTAAATTTCTCTCCATCTTGCTATGTGTGGCTCGGAGATCGCGTCATCCCAACCAATTTTAAGTCGCCAGAGTTGCTGCATAAATATTTTTGCGGTAATCCCCTGCCCGAACTCCCCCCGCGATTGCTAACAAAGTGTTCGCTGTCTCTTGTTCTCCAAGGGTACCTCTCTGTCGCACTCAAGGAGCCTCGAGTTAGATACGGCCTACACAATTTCTTTCACTCGCGAGGAAGAGCGATCGACGCGCTCGGCGTATCCGCGACGACTGACCGTTCTACGACGCGGCTGAGTTATTAAACCCTCTTCTATATTTTCCCGCGCGAATCGTTTCTCCCGGCGCGACTCGACCTTGACGCGACTCGTTCCTAAGAGGGGGGCGACGACGATATCTCGCGCTGCTTTTAGCGCGCGATCCGCTATCGCGATTCTTAAGGGATGCGCGTTGCTTCTAGCGCGCGATCCGCGAGCGGATGCCGGGTATCCGGCGCCGAGGGAGACGAAGGATTATCGGGGGCAGTTGAACGGAGAGAGGAACAGTTAGCGGTAATACGAGCGCGCTTATCGCGTATCGGAGTGAGTTTTTCTTCGTTTTCCAGCGATACGAGAGCGCTTATCGCGTTTCGGGGCGAGTTGTTTTTCGTTTCTTGGCGATGACGCGCTTCTGGTGACGAGACGCGTCCGAGAGCGAATATCCAGCTTAGTTAATCGGAGCGCGTTATCGCCATTTTTTTCGTTATAAAAGGATGCCGCGACGATCTCGAGATATTAGTACATTCGAGAATATTCGCGGTGCGATGAAGCGCGCACCGAGCGCTTTATCGAGATTAGCTGGAAAAGTGGTGAATATTCGAATCTAAGAGTGGTGTCGTCGCGAGAACGATAACGTTCGAAGATTACGTGCGCTGTCTTCGAGAAAGAATCGAGATGAGGCGCGAACAATCTTG